AGACTGAGGACACTCTCTGAAATCTCATTTCCAGGGGGTGAGCTTTCTTCTAGAAAAACCCAGGGGCAATGCTTTCAGCAGAGTGTGGGGAAGCAGGGATCCCACCTCAGAGAGAGGGGTTTTAAGAAGTGAGGAGGGTGTAAAAGATGGGGCCTGTGGGGAGACTCCCCTTGGTTTATCCAGAACAACCATTCTCAAAGTGTGGGCTGTGGAACCCTTGAAGTTTATAAGAGCCTTTCACAGGATCTATTGGGTCAAAACTATTTTCATAGGATGAAGGACATCCTTTGCCTTTTCACTGTGCCCACATTTGCACTGAGGTAAACTCAGCAAGAATGGAGACTGGGACACCAGTCTGCAGGTGGTGGTGACAACTGCATTAGCAGGCATTTGTCACCACCACCCCTCACAGACTAGAAAACAATACCAGTGTCACTTTAGGACACAGTCAAAGGATTAAACATCATTATCTTTACTAAACCATCATCCTTAATTGACATTTTTTTAAATCTCTTGGCTTCTGGTCAAGATGGCTGTGTAGGTAAATACAGTATTCTCTTCACCCCACAACCACATCAGAATTACAACTACACTACAAACAACCATCATTCAGAATCACTTGAGATCTAGGTGAACACAAGTCCCACAACTAGAGGATTAAGAAGCCACGTGGAGACTGGCAGGAGAGGTAGAGATGCAGAACAGGCTGGTCCCACACCCATGGGCGGCAGATAAAAATCAAAGGGCTATCTCAGCTGCAGAGGTCCCCACCAGGAGCAAAAGGCCCAAGATCCACATGACACTCCCCAGCCCAGGGTTTCAGTGCCAGGAAGACAGGTCTCCACAACTTCTGGTTGTAAAAGCCAGTGGTGATGGTGGCTCAATGGGAGGGAAGCTTCTGGAATCCCAGGCACTTCCTCTTAAAAGGTATACACACACACGGGCTTGCTGTGAGCTCCAGTGCTGGGACAGCAGCTCAAAAGGCACCAGGAACATATGGGAAGCAACTGAGTGGTCTGGCATCAAGGTGAGAGCTGAGGGGCAGGTGTCCCCCAGAAAGAAGTACTGGCAGAGGCCATTGCTCCTTTCTGATCCCTCCCCCACTCAGAGCTGGCAGGTGGGCACCATATCTGAACCTCCAACAACCTCGCTCACACTATTTTTCCCATCCTGGTGATTCCCTGAAACATCATCCTCACCAACTTGCAGGCACCTCATGGCTCTTTTAGTGATATTTGCATACAAACAGCCTGACTTGGCTTGTATTGAGGACTTCCCTGAAACGTCTCAGACAAACAACTTCTGACCTAAACATGCTCTGTATCTTCAGCTATGAGGCCCTCGGCCCAGCACTTGTGGCAGCTGGCCTTGCTTTGCAGCTTGGCCTCTCCATGGCACCTCCAAGCCCAGCATAAGTAGCAGCCACCTGCAGATTTCTTTGTAGCTCATGCCAAGTGGCCCAGGGCAAAGACTGGTAATGGCTAACTATGGCCTGCACCTCCAAAGAGGGCCCCAAGCCAGCACACCTGATGGATAGCTTCAGACCTCAGCAAAGTACACCCTACCACCTGCACAGCAACACACTCAAGGGGTGGACTCAAGCAATCTACCAGATGAAGAGTTGAAAATGCTGCTTGTACAAATGCATCCTTAAGTCAACTTAAGGGAAGAGTACATCAAGTTAGTGTGAACTTCAACAAAGAGATAGGACACAGAAAAATAAAACAGGGAACAATAAAAATGAAAAATTCCATTCTTGAAAATGAAGAATACATTACAGAAAATCAACTGTGGACTAGTTGAAGCATAGGATGAAATAAGAGTTTGAGAAGATAAGAAGCAGAAAACACCCAATCAGGCTAGGAAAGAGAAAGAAATACAAAAAAAATGAGGAGAGTATAAGGAGTCTCTGGAACAACTTCAAGCACACCCACATTTGCATCATGGCTGATGCCTCCAAGAGAAGAGAGAGCAGGGAATTGAAACCTATTGAAAATAATGATGGAAAGCTTTGCTAACCTGGTGAAGGAAGTTGATGTATAGGTTCAGAAAGGCAGAGCCCCAAACAAGAGGAACCAAAAAGGCCACACCAAGACACATCATCATTAAAATGCCAAAGGTTAAAGACAAACACAGAATTTTAAAAGCACCAAGATAAAAGAAGTTAGTTACCTACATGGGAGCTCCCATAAGACTGTCAGCTGATTTCTCAATAGACACTTTTCATGTCAAAAGAGATTGGCAAATCTATCATTTTTAATCAAAGGACAGATAAAGAGCTACCCAGTCCAGAAAAAGCTAAAGAAGTCTATTACCACCAAACCAAAAGTACAAGAAATGTTAGATGGTCTTCTTCATGAAGAGGAAGAAGAAAAATAAAAATGTCAATAATAAAATGGCTATAAATGCATATCTATCAAAAATTACTTTAAGTAGCCTTGGCTGGTGTAGCTCAGTGGATTGAATGTGGGCCTGTAAACCAAAGGGTCACTGGTTCAATTCCCATCCAGGCACATGCCTGGGTTGTGGGCCAGGTCCTCAGTAGGGGGTGCACGAGATATAACCACACATTGATATTTCTCTCTCTCTCTCTTTCTCCCTCCTTTCCCCTTTCTAAAAATAAATAAATAAAAATCTTTTTAAAAATTAAGTGAAAATAAATCAATTGCTATAATCAAAAGACATATGGTGGCTGAAAGAATAACAAAACAAGACCCTCATATATGCTGTCTACAAGAGATTCAATTCAGATCAAAAGAAAAACACAGACTAAGAGTAAACAGATGGAAAAGCTATTTCATGAAAATGGTAACCAGTAAACAAACAAACAAAAAAGCTGTGGTATCAATGCTTATACCAGACAAAATAGACTTTAAATAAAAGGCTATATGACAAGAGAGAAAGAAGGACCCAGCCATTCCACTTCTGAGTATTTACCTGAAGAAATTCAAAACATGAATACAAAACCACATCCACATCCACATGTTCATTGCAGCATTATTCACAAAAGCCAAGTAGAGAAGCTACCCAAGTGTCCGTCGACAGATGATTAGATAAAGAAGTGGTGTGCATGCACAACAAAGTCTGACTCAGCCACACACACAAAGAGAATGAAATCTCTCCATTGGCAACAACATGATGAAGGGTATGTTGCTGAGTGAAACGAGTCAGACAGAGAAACAAAAAGATGATTGCATCTATCTGTAGAATATAAAGGACAAAGTAAATGAACAAGCTGAACAGAAACAGACTCATAGACATAGGGGACAGACTGAAGGTTGCCAGAGGGGAGGGGAGTTACAGGGATTGGGTGAGAAAGGTGAAAGGATTAAGAGGCACACATTGGTGGTTACAGAACAGTCATGGGGATGTAAAGTGCAGCACTGGGAATAGAGTCGTTAATATTGTAATAACTACATATGGTGTCAGGTAGGTATTAGATTTATTGGGGGATCACTTTATAAGTTACATAAATATCTAATCACAGACTTACACACCTGAAACTAATATAATATTGTACATCGACTGTCATTGAAAAATAAAAATATTTTAAAGAAGATAAATATATCTTGAATTCATTATACAAATGGATTAATTTCTTAATTGTCCTTCAAAAAAATGGAGAACAAAGAAGTAAAATATATCCCATGATAACTGGGAAAGTGCACAAAGACACTTCTGCTACATTCATTCCCAAATGCCATGAGCCCAGGAAAGTGACCTGTGAGGGCTGAGTCAGCCTCTTCTTCACAGAACAGCAAGTTCACTTAAGAGCATGAGAGACACAGAAGCTGTGATGGCTGAGGTGTGGTGAACTGGCGAACACTCTCTCAAATGAATGTGAGCTTCTCCCTCAAGAAATGTCAATGGGCAGTAGACACCTGACAGCACTTGTTGTCTGGATGGAATGGAAGCTCTCAGGGGAAAACCAGGATTCTGGCAAACGTGTGTCTCTCCACGGCAGCCAGACAGCTTCCCAGAGCTGACAACCGTTTCCAGTGGGGTCTGCGGTAATGTTAACAAATGTGATTTTTGATGATCTGTCATTAAATGCACCAACACTGGGAGATCTCTGTCACTTAGTGAAACAATGCATCACTTTCAAATAATCCTGCATCAGTACAAGAGCCACTCAAGCAATGTACCAGAATAGGAAATACTCAATGTTGGTGTTTCAGGTTCCACTTTGCAAAGGGATTTTTACAAACTACCACTTGTGTGGCTTTAGTGTATGATCCAAGATGAATATCCACACTTATCTGAAAAGCTTATTAAAAATGCACCTCCTACATATTTCAGAGACTGTATATTTTTTTATATATAGCAACTAAAGTAACAGATTAAAAGCAAAAGTAAATATGAAAATCCAGCAGACTTCTAATGATACCGACAAGAACTGAGATTTGCAAAATTGCAAAATGTAACCAGACCCACTCTTCTCACTACCTTGTATTTGGGAAATAGTGTTTTTCATTAAAAAATTATTTGTGTTAATATATCATAGTTTATTGACGTTATTCTAAATGAACTGATTTTTCAAACTGTTTTGGGTTTGTGTGTATGTGTGTGTTTGTATGGTAAATATTGATAGCTTTAACCCACACAAACAAAATTATTTGGGGCTCGTCCCTATTTTGTAAGACTGTATAAATGTTCTGACACCAAAATGTTTGAGAGTCGCTGAATAAAACAGCCCGTGGGCAGGGACTCAGGGAGACAGCGGGACAGAGGTCTCCGTGCAGAAGGAGGGTTGGGGCAGAGTCCCGGGTCCCCAGGCCTGGCTCCCAGGGTGTCAGACCCAGGACCGAGTCTGGGGCGGGGACTCTCAGTGTTGGGGTTTCCCTTCTCCATCTCGCGGGACCTTTTCTGCCTGGAAACTCAAGACGCTACTGCACTTCTCCCTTGGGTGTCCCAATCCTAGACCAGCCAATCAGCGACACCGTGCTTTCTGATATAAAGTCCTCACCTGGTTCTCGGATGCCTTCTTCCCCGACGCTCAGGGTCGGGTGATGGAACCCCAGACCCTGCTCCTGCTGCTCTCGGGGGCCCTGGCCCTGACAGAGACCTGGGCTGGTGAGTGCGGGGTCGGGAGGGAACTACCTGTAAGGGGCAGGGGCGAGGGGACCCGCCGGGGATGCAGGAACAGGAGACCGCGCGTCTGCAGCACCCCCAGCCCAGACCCCAGATGTCCCCAATCCCGCTTCAGCTCCGCTCCTGCCGCTTCTCGCACCCCCTCCTCTACCAGACCTTTCTCAGCCCCCCAAGCCCCCTGCCCCCATTGCCCCCGACTAGAGACCTAGGCCGCTGGCCCTCCCCGCCCCCAGGTCCCCACACCCTGAGATATTTAAACATCCTCGTGACCGGACCTGGACAAGGCAAGTACCGGGCAATCAGCATCAGCTACGTGGACGACACGGAGATCATGCGGTTCGACAAGGACGCAGTGGGTCCCGGGACGCAGCTGCGGGTGCCGTGGCTGGAGCAGCTGTGGGTGGAGCGGGAGGATCCAGACTGGTGGGACCAGCAGGCACAGAACATCAAGCACAACGAAGAGAACTTCCGAAACTACTTGAACTACCTGCGCACCTACTTCAACGAGAGCGAGGACGGTGAGCCACGAGCGTCAGGGTCCGGTCATGACCCCCATCCCTACGGATGGGCCTGGGTCGCCCAGAGGCTGCAGGCGGGACCTGCCCGGCCCCGGTCCCGGGAGGAGCCCGCAGGGATTTGGCCCCGGTTAGATTTTCATTCAGTTTAATTCAGGATTAATCGCCGTGGGACATGGGACGGGTGGAGAATGGTCAGGTGGAGGACACAACTGTCCTCGGGGAGGGGCTAAGTGGCCCTGGCCAACCTCCGGGCGGGGTCAGTGTCGCACACCCACCAGCACATGACAGGCTGTGTCGTGGGGTCGGACCGGCGCTTCCTCCGCGGGTACTTTCAGTCCGCCTACGATGGCAACGAAACCTTTGAGGTGAACGTGGACCGGTGCTCCTCCACCTCGGCCCAAGTCCCGATAACTGCCGAGAGCGACATGGTGCAGGACCAGGCTGCAGAGCACTGGAGGACCTACCTGAAGAACGTGTGCGTGCCCTGGCTCCGCCTGTTCCTGCAGAAGGGGAAGGAGACGCTGCTCCGAGCAGGTACCAGGGTGCGGGCCTCTCCGAGGAGGGGATCTGTGGGCTGGGGCGGGTTCCTACAAGGAGAGGAGGAAAATGGGACGGTGTCAGGGCCTGCCCCCCTTCACGGGAGAGGGAATAGTCCCCCAGGTGTCCTTATTCTGTGACTCACCTGCGGGCCCAGCGTTCTCTAAAGGACAGTAAGGGACCCAGCCTCTCCCTGAAACAGCCCACAGCGGTTCCCTCACACCCTGCAGCACCTGGTGCACCAGGACACTCTCCCTGGTTCTCAGAGCTGAGACCTTCTCTGGAGACCTGACTCTGGCTTTTCTCAGTCATCATCAGCCTCCACCTGAGTCTGTGTCTCCGCTTAAAGACCTGAACACTCCTCCCCTAGGTTCTCACCCTGATTCCGGAAATTTCTAAGGAATAGGAGATTATCCCATGTGCCTCTGTCCAGGCTGGTGTCTGGGTGTTGCTCTCCCTTCCCCCACCCCCGCTGTCCTGTCCACTCTCAGGGTGGTCACAGAAGCACCGCTGGAGTGTCCCATGACCATGCAGAGTTCCCGAATTTTTCTCACCCTCCCCTCAGACCCTCCAAAGACACGCATGACCCACCACCCCATCTCTGACCATGAGGTGACCCTGAGGTGCTGGGCCCTGGGCTTCTACCCTGCGGACATCACCCTGACCTGGCAGCATGAAGGGGAGGACCTGACCCAGGACATGGAGCTGGTGGACACCAGGCCTGCAGGGGACGGGACCTTCCAGAAGTGGGCAGCTCTGACTGTGTCCCCTGGAGAGGAGCAGAGATATACGTGCCATGTGCAGCACCAGGGTCTTCCTGAGCCCCTGACCCTGAGATGGGGTGAGGAGGGGGTGTGGGCACAGAGCCACTCCTCAGGGTATCCCTGAACAGGGTCAGCACTCAGGCCTGAGGTTGACTTCTCACCTTCCCCTCCCAGACCCCCCTTCTCAGACCACCATCATCATTGTGGGTATTGCTGCTACCCTGGGTCTCCTTGGAGCTACAGCTGCTGGAGCTGTGCTGTGGAGGAGGAAGTGCTCAGGTGGGCAAGGAGTGGGGCTGAGTTTCCTGTCCCCCTCGGGGTGTCAAGCCCAGGTGGAATTGTGTTTTGCCTCCTTAATGGACATCGTGTCCCCACACGGGTGCTTGTCCATCTGGGGGCCTGTTTGCTAACACTGACTCTTAGTGAGGCCTGTGGGAAAGTGAGGGACACATTTATCACCTGATGATTCTAGCAATGGGGACTGATCCCAGCTGTCAGAGGTCAGAGGGGAAGGTCCTTTCTGAGGATAGACATCCAGACAGGTGATTGGTCCAGTCCCAGCACACATGCAGTTTCCCTGTATTTCCTCATCCTCCCCTGGGTGTTCAGTCACAGTTCTGGAACCTTCCCTGTGCCTCAGGAGTGTGAGGCTTTTTTAGGGGTCATGGGACCCAGCCTTCCCCCTGACTTCTCACAGAACATTTTCTTTCCACAGACAGAGGCAAGAAGAGCTGTGCTTGGGCTGCCTATAAGTCTGGGTGTTGGGGAGGTGATGTCTCGGGCCCTGGGGAGAGTGTGGGCTAGATCTGTGAGGGGGGCTCCCCCACCCCGTAACTGTGCTGTTGTGTCTCCCCCAGGCTGCGACAGTGCCCAGGGCTCTGATGTGTCTCTCACAGATGCTATGGGTGAGACCCCGAGGGCAGAAACTGAGGGTATTGGGACCCAGGGGCACAGCTGGGTTTTGGGGACTCTCAGAGTGAAACGTTGAGCATGTGGTGGTTCTGGGGGAATGTGACACTTCTGAGAGTGACCTGAATTTCTTCATGGTTTCTTTCACAGTGTGACAGAGCTGCTTTCTACTGGACTTGGTGCTAAAACATTCATTGCAGGCCACATCAGTGGACACTGGCACTAGAACACAGAGGGGTCCTACAATGATGAGTCATTCTGCAAGTAGTTTTTGAGTCTGGGGAAGATGACACAGTGCTTTTACACCTGGAACACAGACATACCTTGGAGATGTTTCTGGTTCAAGTCCAAACCACTGCAATAAAGTAAATATACCTAGAAAGTGAGTCACACAATTTTTTTGGTTTCTTTGTGATCATAAATGCTAGGTTTATGTTGTACCATAGTCTATTAAGTATTCAATAGTATTATGTCTAAAAAATAATGTGCATGCCTTTATCAAAATATACTTTGTTCTTAATAAAAATGCTATCTCTCATCTGGCCCTTTATTGAGTTGTAATCTTTTTGCTGGTGGGAAATCAGCTGTAACTTCAGTTGTAATACAAACACAGCCTGGCTGGGGGCTCAGCTGGAGCATCGTCCACACACCAATGCTTACAGGTTCGCTCTCCGTTAAGGGCACATACCCGGCTGGGTTTGAATTTCTGGTCAGGGTGGGTACATGAGGCAACTGGTCAATGTTTCTCTCACATCAATGTTTCCCTCTCTCTCTCTCTCTCTCTCTCTCTCTCTCTCTCTCTCTCTCTCCCCCCCCCCTCTGTAAAATCAGTAACAACAACTCTCAGGTGAGTGTTAAATTAAAAACTGCAATATCAGTGAAGTGCAATAGCATGCTGCACCCCTGTATATCAGTGAACTGAGCATAGTCTGAACTGCCGACCTTACAGAACACATGTACTGTGCTCGAAACCTTCACCCTTTTATTAAGGCATTTCCAGTCACTTTAAGTTCATAAATGTACAACGAGGTGTGGAAAATCCAAGGAAGAACAGAATGGGTGTCATATGACAAGGGGACCATGTGACCACCAGTGCTCCATGCACTATTCAGGGTTTCTCCCCACACATCCAAATGTACATTTTGGAGCCTCTGGCTGTGACTGGTAGAGTCCCCTGATTCTAACCAAGTGCTGTGTTGTTGCCTAAGAGTCACCTCAGGCTTCCAGGCCCCCCTCTTGTAGACCTCAGGGGTGTCCGTGTGGGGTCAGAGAGCTGACCAATCAGAAGGTGAGGACACCTGCTTAAAGCAGGAGCTGTTCCAGCGTCCATTGTCATTAATCCACTACAGACACTGCTCTCATTCTGCACATGCTGAGTCCTAGAAGATCATGGCCAAGGACCTGACGTCCTTAGTGGACCTATATAAAAAGATCAAACAGAGATGTGTCCTGACCAGGTGGCTCAGTTGATTGGAGTGTCGGTCCCTGCACCAAAAGGTTTCAGGTTTCTGATGCCTGGTCAATGTACCACAGGCAACTCATCCATGTTTCTCTCTCTCAAATCAATAAACACATCCTTGTGTGAGGATTTAAAACAAGCACTCAAGCCAGAAGACCCCCTCCCTGCCCCAGAGGTGTGTGTGTGTACCATTTCTCACAACAATGGAAAAACACATTTGTTTCTAGTGCCCAGCGAATGTCCCTGAGACCCTGGAGGAAGGCAGGAGGACTTCAGGAGCAGCTGGACACAGAAGGCTCATGCCCCCAAATAATCGTCATTTTCATTTACAATGTTCACAGTTAGTGAGTCTTCATTAGCTCTCAGCTTTGAGTGATGAGAATGGAAATGGTCATAGAGAACATTCCTCAGGTGACCCAGGGGTGACTCTGCCACAGTCCCCCCACCCCCACTTCTACCCAAGTTTCCTCACAGCAGGGTTTCCCCGCACCAGCTCCACAGCTGCTCACTCAGCTCCCACCAGAGGGTCCTAGTCCTCCTTGGAGTAAGACTCACAGATTCTTGAAGGGGCAGGGCTAGGATGGGGCTGCAGGTGCAGCAGAAGCGCTGATGTGCCGGGTGGCAGACAGAGGGTGGGACGTCATCATCCTGGCAAGGTGAGAACACCCCTGAGAGTGACAAGGCAGACACTGTGACGCTCCCCACACCAGCCCGTCTGTAAGACCCACAACGAATCAGAACGGGCTGGGGAGGGGCAGGGGGGGAGGGGAAGCCATGCTCTGCTGCCTTGCTCCCCCTGCAGGGCTCCTGACAACCCACAGAGAGCCCGAGGGCAGAAGCAGCATTCAGGCCCCAGAGCCAGGGCCCTGCATTTTGTGGCTAAAACCAGGGACAGATTCAAGGATGCTGGGTAGTACAGGGGGGCTAGTGGCCATGGGGACAGGAGGCACAGAGAGCCTCAGAACTGAACTAACAGACGGGAAATCGGGGAAAGTAAACACTGGGGACACAAGGCAATGAGAAACCAAAGGTAAAATGAGTGGAGAGAGTCCTCGTAGGTCAATAATCACCTGAATGGACATGGACCGAACTCACCAACCAAAAGCTGGTGCACAGAGAAGCTGAGTGGGTTGAAAACAAGGCCCAACTCTGTGCTGCCCATAAGAGACCCATCTCAACCCAAGGACACACAGGCGCTCACAGGGAAGGGGGAGATGAAACAATCTGATTTTAAAATAGGCAGCTCTCGGTGAGAGGGTCAGTGGGTTGGAGCATCTTCCAGTACACCAAAAATTTGAGGGCTTGATTCCTCCTGGGGGCTTGAAACACACACATCTCTCTCTCCCTCTCTCTCTCTCCTTTCTACCCCTTCTTCTGTCTCTAAAATCAATAAACATACCCTCAGGTGAGAATTGAAAAACAATGGGCAGAGGACCTGAACAAACACTTCTCCTAAGAGGACTTACAGATGGCCAGTAGACATGAAAAAATGCTCAATGTCACTAATCATTGAGCAAATCATTTAATTTGCATCAGAGACATGCAAATTAAAACCACAATGAAGTATCACTTCATGCTTATGGGAAAATCTACCTTCGATAAAGCAACAAACCAGTGCTGGCCAGAATGTGGAGAGAAGGGACCCTCATGCACTGTTGGTGGTAATGCAGACTGGTGCAGCCCCTGTGGGAAACAGTGTGGAATTCCCTCAAAATATTAACTGTGGAAGTGCCCATTGACCCAGCAATCCTACTTCTGGGTGTTTACCTGAAGAAATCCAAAACACTAATTTGAAAGAATATGCACCCCAAGTCCATTCCAGCGTTATTTACAACAGCCAAGCTCTGGAAGCAGCCCAGGTGCCTATTAACAAAGCAAATGAACATGGCAAATACAAAGATGGTCACAGACACAGACAACAGGATGGTGGTCACCAGAGGGAAGGAAGTAGCAGGGGAAGAAGAGAACAGAGTGGTCACATGTGTGGGGACGGAAGGAGACCAGAGGTGAGGTGCAGAGCATTTTTATTTCCCCGTGAGGGGCCACAGCTGGATACTGTATAGAAGCCCTGGATGTCCCACCTGCCTGTCTCAGCTTGAATGACCGCTCTACCTAAAGTGACAGGTCCATGTGTCCAGTGCACTGGCCACAGCAGAAGGAGTGGCAGAAACAGTGGGCTGTGCCCCTTGCTCCTTGTGGTGTCTCAGAAGGATGACTTCAGGCCAGTGTGCTGGCACAGCTGGTTTCTAAGATCTGATTATCAATTGACATTTCTTACTGTCAATCGAATATTGCAGTGATCAATTTTAATGTTATCTCCCTGTATTTCCCCATCATTGGTTTGTCCTAATCCCTATCTGTACGACCAGGAAGGCTTCTCCCCACAGTCATCATCCAGAACACAGGGACAGGCTGGTCCAATGAGAGACTCCAGCACGGGACTCTGTGAGCAATGGAGAGGTAATTACACTGTCCTTTAGGGTCACATGGACAGAGGGACACCCCAGGACGGGAGACAGACACAGTGGCTTCAATTGGGGGTATTTTCCAGACTAAACACACCTGAGGCCATGAGCAGCAAGAGCTGTGGGACTGAAATGCACAAGAAGACCAGCCCCCATCACAAGGAACAACAAGTGGGAGGCACTTGTGGGCAGAAATCAGCCCCTAGATCACATGGGATGAACATAGTGAGGAACTAGGGGCTACTGGAAGTGACTCTTGACAATCTAATCTGTGGGTGTCAGTGTGTATAATATTCTTAATTACACTGTTTACTGATCCTTCACTGAATGAGTGTTGTACATAAAATCCACTATGAACTTTATTTTCAAATCAAAATACAATTGACAGCCCTGGCTGGCATAGCTCAGTGGATTGAGTGCGGGCTGCGAACCAAAGTGTCCCAGGTTCGATTCCCAGTCAGGGTACATGCCTGGGTTGCAGGCCACGACCCCAGCAACCGCACATTAATGTTTCTCTCTCTCTCTCTCTTTCTCCCTCCCTTCCCTCTCTCTAAAATAATAATAAATAAAATCTTTAAAAAAATACAGTTGACACACAACCTCCTGTAAGTGTAATGTGTCCAGCGAGTTTATATAGGAGCACTTACATTCACTCATGTGCCACATAACGGTGGTGATCCACCCTGAGAAACATGTGGTTGTGTGATGTTGTGGTTGTGCACACAGCACAGAGGCCCTCACACCTGGTTGGTCTCCCTACTGCTCACCTACACTGCAGGGCACAGCCTATTGCTTCTGGGCTGCAAGCCTGCACAGCATGATGTTATAGAAAACAACACCAGATTAAATCAACACCAGAAACAATGACGCCTTCAAGAGACCCGATAAACACAGGTATGAGGCTGCTACAGCCATAACAAAGCACACTGTTCTACTGCAAGCCTTTAAAAAACTGTCACCCAAGGCGATGGTAATTTATTGGAGAGACACAGAGTGTGTGTGTGTGTGTGTGTGTGTGTGTGTGAGAGAGAGAGAGAGAGAGAGAGAGAGAGAGAGAGAGAGTCAAGTTGCCTCCCAGAGGCATCCTGACCAGGGATCAAACCCACAACATTTTGGTATTTGTGATGACCTTCTAATCAATTCAACCACCTGGCCAGCTGGCATAAATTCTTTGGTGAAGTGCCTGTTTACAATTGTAATTAATTTTTATTGAGTTATTTTTACCTTATTGCTGAGTTTGAGTCTTCCTACGTGCATTCTAAAAAAAATTGTATATTTTCCTGGGAAGACAAATCAGCAGTGACACACTGTGGTGATTTCCTGCTACAGGACTCAGGTGACTGAGGGAGCAAGGGGATTACATGACTTGTTTAATTTTTTGTATTCTTGAGAGTCTTTGGAGTTTTTTGTATGTGCATGAATATTTTTTCCTAAGAACAAGTTACAGCAAAATCTCTACCCTTATAAATCTCCTGACACACCATCCTTACATCATGATTTAAAATGCAGACTCTGATCCTTTCTCTAAGACCAACCATTTGCCTTAGAAATTCCATTCCTAACAAATTTGGCTGGCTCTATGGACAAATCCTCCCACTGGAAATAGC